GTTACTCCCAATATAAGTGCCGATATTGTGTCCTTTGGTATATCTTGCCATCCTGGCTATTGTTGTGGCTTATTGACTCCACAGCTGGGTAGGACTATTGGTTGCTTCCCTCCCCTGACAGCTCATGTAGAACCTGCAGATGGAAGCTAGTACTCGAGGAGGAGGCTTCAAGGTCAGTTCCAGTTCAATTCCTTCAAGCCCTGTGTCCGAAGTGTGTCTTTAGCAATAGGGTCTTACCTTCAAGTTCTGGAAGGCAGCCAAGGGTAATGGTAATTGCCTATGTCATTTTTGAAATCTCTCTGACTCCCCTGACCTACAACTGAAGGGGATGTATCCCATGCCTGGCCCTGGAATTCTGTTAGATTTCATTTAATATAAACTCATACAGAAATATTTTCCAAAATTGGCAGAACACAGAAAGGGGATTTTTCTCAAAGCTATTGTGTAGAGCAAGAGCCCTGTTCTGTAGCTTGCATTTAACCACTCTAAAGATGGAAGCCTTGTGTGTGGTCTCTGTTTCAGGGGTACTGAGAACTAGCTGTGAGGGTCACTGGGAGGCAGGGCTGGAATTGTTGGGGATTACTGTCTCTTCTTCCTGTTTTTCACTTGAAGGGACTGATTAGGTTGTAACATGTTTTGGCTTCCTCTCTGAGTCCTGTTCCTCCAAGGACATTATGTTACAATGAGGCAGATTCAATGAAAACTTGTTTCGAAGAGACTCTGACAGTCTACGGAGAATTTGTGAATGAGGGACATTCTTGCCTCCATTGAAACCATCTAGGCAGCTTTGGCCTCCAAAGTCATGTGCTGAATGTGGAGGCTTCCTCAGCTCATAAAGCCATATGTCCTTAGAAGAGAGCTGGTTATTTGAGGTTCCTTACTCCCTGACAGTGTTCTCCTAAGTGGTTCTTCTGTGCAGTCCTGGCAGGAGTAAGGCTTATACACATTCTCCCGTGTCCTTGAATATTTGCTCACTTATCAGCAATGAGCTTAGGTCTAGTTTAGGGCAGGTGCTCTGATGGCCTCTAGGGACCCTGCAATGAAATGGAAGGTGGTAGTTCCCACTGACAAAGAACCTACAGTCTGGGAATGAGTTTATTTGTATAAATATGAAATGGATGCTAAGTCACTCCATTGTCACATTTCTCTTATTTGTTCAACCAACTATTTTTGATTAATTTTTTTCATAAAATATATTTTGATATTTTCCCTCCCCAAACTCCTCTCAGGTCCCACCTCCCTGTCTACCCAACTTTATGTTCTTTCTATCTCTAAAACAAAAGAAAACAACTACTTCCAGAAAAAAAACTCCAAAAGATGAGACAAAAATGCCCCCCCCAAAAAACCAGGATGAAATAAAAGCCCCATAACAAGCAAACATGGTGTGTTGGCCAACTATTCCTGGGCATAGAGCCTGCCCTGGATTGTAGTTGATATACCCAGTGACACTTCATTGGAGAAAACTGATTTTTGCTTTACAAGTATGTATAAATTGCAAATAGCAGCTTAGTGAGGGTTGGGACATTATGTCCACTTCCCCTTTTCAGTATTGGGATTTTTGTCTGGCTTGAACCTGTGCATACCTCATGCATATTGCCACAGTATAGTTCATATGTGTACCAGTCCGCTTGTGTCTGGAAGGCACTGTTTCTTTGAAGACACCCACCAGCTTTGACTCTTACAGTCTTTCTACTTTCTCATCCACTTAGAGCCCTGAGCCTTGACAGGAGGGGTTAGATGAAAACATTCCATTTAGAACCGAGGGCTGCAGTCTCTCACTCTCTGTCCACTGTCCACTTGTGCATCTCTGTGTTAATTCCCCTCTACTGTAAGAGGAAGCTTCTCTGATGAGTGTTGAGTGACTAGGAGTCATTTGATTGTTCTCTTCCCTTAGCAGAATAATAACAGTAGGTTTTATCCTAGGCCCATGACCTAGTCAAGTCTGAAGTTCTTGGCCACCTCAGTTTTAAAAGTGGTTGGTCATTCCCCCAATATTTGTCCACTATCATACCACATTAGTACATCTTGCAGCTGGGTTGTTTTTATAGGTTGCAGATTTTGTAGCTAGGTGATATTAATGGTTCCTTTCTCCCACAGTGACATGCAGAGTACCTTCCAGCACTGTGAATGCTAGTCAGTAGAGGTGAAGCTTTTAGTTGGGCACCAGCTTGGCTTCTTGTTCAATTATATCTAATGTTGTCTTCAGCAATAGGACCTTACCATCCGGTTGTGAAGAGCAATCAATAGCCTTGACAATAGCCTGTAATATTTGAGGGTGGGCCATGGTACCCTTATGAACAATGACTCAACAGGATGTAACCCATTCCTGGCACTTGGTGGTATGAGATACTTTTCCCTTTATATGGTAACACCACTTAAATTCCTTTCATATGTGTATATGTTTTAGGAAGCTTGTCTGAGTCACTGTTCTATTGCTGAGATACCATGATCATGGCAGCTCTTATAAAGATCATTTAATTGGTGCTTGCTTCCTGTTTCAGAGGTTTAGTCTACTATCAGCATGGTGGGTAGCATGGCAGCACACAGGCAGACATGGTGCTAGAGAAGGAACTGCGAGTTCTACATTTGGATCTGCAGGCAGCAGGAAGAGAGAGCCCCTGGGCCTGGCTAGGGCCCTTGAAACCTTAAATACCACCCCAAGAGACACACTTCCTCCAGCAATATTACACCTACCGATCCCTCTCAAGTAGTTCCAGTCCCTAATGACTGAGCATTCAAATATATGAACCAAGGAGACCATTCCTATTCAAACCACCACAAAGCTTCTACAGTAATAGGTTTCCATGTGGTTGTTCATAAGGTCTTTAGTGTTAGCTGTCACTCCCAATATTCCCTATTTAAGCCTCCTATTCTAGTTTCCCCTTTATCTCTCTAAAACACTATATTGCATATTTCCATTTTCCTTGGAAAACCTTCGTCTGCCCTTACTAGATATTTAATCTCTGTGTTTATTCAGACTGTAGCAAACATATTGGAAATTTAAATACTAACATCCACATATAACATATTTAAAGAATTTATTGTCTGAGTGTGTGTGTTTGTGTGTGTGTGTGTCTGTGTGTGTGTGTGTCTGTGTGTGTGCATGTGTCTGTGTGTCTGTGAGGAGGGACCCATGCACCATGGCACACAGATACAGGTAAGAGGACAATGAATCTGTTCTCTTCCTCCACCACGTTGGTCCTGGAATCAAACTCAGGTTATCAGGTTGAGGGGCAAGCATCATTTGAGCTATCTTGATGGCTCCTAAAGTGCATGTCTTGTTCAAAGTAAAACCTCTGTCTGGCAGAGAGTTTAGAGGTAGGGAATGTAAACCTCTATTTTATGAAGAAAGAACTGGATTCCCTCGAGAGCTGGCATCAGTGGTGAGCATGGTCAGGAGGGCAGCTCTTACCTCTTTTTTTCTCAATATATGTTTTCATTTAAATTAGAAACGTGAATGTTCCACATGTCAGTCCCAGCTCCCTCTCCCACCCCTCCTCCGTTGTCCCTCCACCAGCCCCCCACCCAATCCCCACATCAATCCCCAGGAAGGGTGAGACCCTCCTTGGAGGGGGATCTCTAAAGTCTGTCATTTCATCCTGGACAGGACCTAGGCCCTTCCCCCTGTGTCCAGGCTGAGAGAGCATCCCTCTATTTGGAATGGGCTCCCAAAGCTCATTCATAAACCATGGTGAACACTGATCTACTACCCAAGGCCCCAGTGATTTCTGTGGCCTCCTAATTGATACTACATTCATGGAGTCTGGATCAGTCTCCTGTTGGCCTCTCAGCCATCAGTCTGGGATTCAAGCAGCTCTTACCTCTTTAGTTCTCTGTCTACTCTGCTCAACCAAGCTTCTCTCTTCTAGAATCATCTGGAAGCTCTAATCGACCTTATGTCAACAAATATCCCAACTGAACTGCTCCTAAGAAGGCAGATAAACATAACTTGTCCTGATGAGATTTCTAGTCCATCAGGGTTTGGATAAGTTTGAATCATGGCTCTTACTGCAGGGCATGCCTTACCCTGACCTACTGTTGCAGCATGCTTGATTTTTCTCCAGGTGTGTGTGTGTGTGTGTAACTTATTTTAAAAGCAGTCAGCCCTTTGGGGACTTTAATAAAGATGACTTGTTCCCTTCAAAAATTGCTAAGACCCAGTTTAGGAGATTCACATTTGAAAAACCATGTAAGTGTTGGCTTGGGGCATTGAGATGATATTATCTGGTGTCAATTTATCATTGTCAGGGAGATACAGAGATGTGTGTCTTAAAAAACAATTCCATGTAATATGGAAGCAATTATCTTGTCAAGGCTGGAAAAGTTTTGTCAAATACTACAAGAAAACATACAGTGAAATTTTGTAAAGTGATGGGAAAGAGTGAGACTAACTTGAGGTCAATGGTATCATGGGTTTTGATACCAGAAACCTGTTTCCACACAGCAGGGGACTTCCTCTGACTTTGCTTTCCAGATGTGCCCTGTGGAAACCTGAGACAGGCTGATGTTCAGGCTTGGCCCTTCTACCTGATCCTACCAGTGAGTCCCTGCTAATTGTGCAGACCAACAACAAAGTAACTAAGTCAGAGCACCTCCTATTAATTTTCCAGTGTCTTTTCTTTAACAGAAAAATGTTTTTAAGAGCAGAAAGAAGTTTTACAGATTTTCTCTGTCTGCAGCACACAACAAAAACAGGACTATACATTTCCAAAGAGCTGTCTCATGCTCTTCCTTCCTTCCTTCCTTCCTTCCTTCCTTCCTTCCTTCCTTCCTTCCTTCCTTCCTTCCTTCCTTCCCTCCCTCCCTTCATCCATCCCCCTTTCTTTCTTTCTTTCTTTCTTTCTTTCTTTCTTTCTTTCTTTCTTTCTTTCTTTCTTTCTTTCTTTCTTTCTTTCTTTCTTTCTCAGTGCTGATAGCTGGTGCTCAAACCCATGACCTTATTCATGCTAGGCAAGCATTGTGTCCCCAAACCAAAACATTTTATGACAGTTTGTACTCACCACATGCTGCACTTGGTGTTAGGTTCTTGGGCTCCTGGGTGAGTAAGTCTCCAGGAGCTGACAGGTTGATATGGTGGAGCTTGGAACCAGTGTGTAAGCAATTACAGGTCAATATTAAGAAGTACCGAGATGTGGTGAGTCACGGTACTAACAAGTGGCCTGGAATCCAGCCCTGGAATGAGCCTGTTGGGGAAAGGTTGCTGTGGCTTTTCTGCTTTCGGATGCTCTTGGCATCCAGACTGCTTCAAGCTGGTGCCCATTACCTGGGAATGTGGGTCTTGAGGAGAATGGTGTAATTAACTACAAGGGATGGCTGTGGGCTAGATCAGAAAGGCACCCTAAAAGACCTGCCACCTACACCAAGTTCATTCCTTAGGATCAATCAAAGCTAAGCAAGCTGGATTGAGAGGACAGGCGCCCCAGCTGAGGGTCTGCAGGAAAGGGGAGGGGGAGTGAGTGCTGGCTGGGTAGGGGTGCAGCCATTGAACAGGATGACATCATGAATTTGAGGAACAATTTGGTGATGAGGGTGATTAGAGGGAGGGAGGAATCTCCAATTTTCTCTTCTCAAATGACTTAGCTTGTGTCAAGCTGACATAAAATTAACTAGTGCAGATACACAGAGAATAAAAGAAAATGCCTCCCTCTTGTGTGTGAGTTTTCCTGGGGAGACACAGCACATGTGTTCACTCACCCAAGAAATGGAACCCATAATGGAGCAAAGTAGCAATTACAATAATGTCCATCTTGGTGAAACAATGAGTTTTCATTAGGGTTGCTAACAGGAGTGTGGGTGAGGAATTACAGGGTCAGAGATGACACAAGGACAGCTGCATCAACTCAAGGGCACATAGTGACCCTCATGTCACCTCTGAGCATCCTGAATAGCCAACAGGCAGCACGAATGGTCTAAGTTTCTCTTCTCTCCTCGTCTGGTCAGTCTCTTGCTGCTGTGGCTATTTCCCCCTTTTATAAAGCTGGGGGTAGGGTGGGCCTCCAGAATCTTCCAAGTTTATGCTTTTTCATGCATGTAACCTTTTGTTTATCTCTTGAGTTTCATGTACCTCTTTCCCCTCCTGGAAAGAATGTTTCCATTGCTAGGAAACTGCCTCACACACTTCTCACTCATTTACCAGCCCTTCCTCCATCCCATCCACCCTTCATATCTAGCTGAGGGCACTAATGCTCCTCCAGTGCCTTTCTGTCACCACAGGATCTAATCGTACTAAAAACGTTTCCAGGGCCAATAGCCAGCACTGCCAGCATCTGTTAGTCATGTGAAACAGCGCTCCACAGAGCCCTGTTGGTTAGGATTTATCATTGGACGAATGGTTTCCACTTCTCTCTCTCTTTAATAACCTATCCTTGTGTCAAAAGTAAATGATACTGCTAAGACATGGCATACTTCAAATTCAGATTTAACATCCAGAGACTAGAATATTTTCTCTTCTTCCTTATATAACTAAGCACAACCCACCTTACTGTCTCCAGCTCATTCGAGTCTAAAATTCTCTAATGCTTCAGCACGTCTGTGTTTCAGAATATATTCAACCTCTGATAGGTTGACCTAGGGCCTTCTATCATCTATCAGGAGCACTGTTGAAGACTCAGCTTGTTCTCAGCTTAGCATCAATCCTTCAGTGCTTTTAGTCAGTTAACCACACAGTAACTTTGTCTTCAGGGCCTTATCTATCTATCTATCTATCTATCTATCTATCTATCTATCTATCATCTATCTATTGAGACAGTACTTTACTATGTTCCCTCAGTTGATCTTAAACTTGGTCTCCCTCTCACCCTTGCCTCAGCCCCCAAGTGCTGGCATTGTAAAGGGTCATCACTATGCTCTACCTTAGCTTGTGATATCTATTGTCCCCCTTATCAGTAACTCTGAGTCATTCAATGAAAGGTATGCTCTTTGCCGGGCATATGGACGGCTTTTTGCCTAAGGTATGTTTCACCAGATCTTCCTGGATCAGGGGAGTGTGCCTGTGCTGGAAATCTGCTCATTTAGTCCCTTCCTTCCTTCCTTCCTTCCTTCCTTCCTTCCTTCCTTCCTTCCTTCCATGTTACTTCAGTGAGGTCATCTTCAGTCACCTTGTTACAGTGATAACCCTCTCACTCCCTGTCTCCTTTCCTCCCTGGTAATTATTGTATTCTAATTCGCATATTCACTCTGTCACTCAGTCACTCAGTCACTCACTTCCTTCTTCAAACTTTGACCTCTTATTGTGTCTTCCTTTACAAAGCAAATTTCTTGATAAATGCCTGTGTGAGTGACCATGTTGAATTATTATTATACAGAACCTAGTATTTGTTGTATATCAATTTCTGAATAATATTGAATTATAAATGAATGAATTCCATGAAGGTGGTAGGAGAGTCATTGGTTAGGAGCCAGAGATCCGTATTTTAATGTTTACATATTCCTATAATAAGAGACTTGAAAATTTTCTCTCTGCCTCTGTATGTCATCAACAAAATGAATATGTAATATCTGTTATACTAGTGGAACTTATGCAAAGATTTTCTTTGTTTGATTTTTGGAAACAGGACCTTTTCTAGGCAAGGTTGACTTGAAACTCTCTATGTAGTTGAGTGTGACCTAGAATTTCCAGTCCCCTGCTTCCACCTCCTAGGTGCTGTGACTATAAGCTTATATCTCTACCTCTGGCTTATATAATGCCGAAGATCAAATCCAGGGCACCATGCATGTTATGCAAGCATTCCACAGACTGAGATGCACTGCCAACTCCCTATGCAAAGCTGTCATAGACACCCTACCCTGTGCAGTGATCCTGGGAGTTGTGTTCCCTTTGCTATAAGCTAATCCCAAGAAAAGGTTTGAATACAGTGTAGGGGTAACAGGAATACTTTAGTGGATTCTTTGTGTATCACTTAGATCATGCATTTGAATTTGTGATAAGCTACTGAAAATTTGAAGAGTAGAATAGTAACCACTACAAGGGTCTGGTGTCTCACATATGTCTGGTGTTGTGTGTTGATTTGATGTGCTGCATGTATTAGTTCATTTCACCCCCACTGACACACAATGAGGATGATCTGATGTCCCTTCAGAGATGAGATAGAGTTGAGCATGGTGATGCATGCCTATAATCCCAGCACATGGAGTCAGAGGCAGGAGGATAGCTTCAAGTTTGAGGCCAGCTGGGTTACCTAGTGACTAAGGTTCCTCCTTAAAAAACAATAAGAAACAAATCAAGCAAAAACAAAAGACCTGAAGAAGCCAACACACTAAAAATCCAGCAGCCCCCAAAAGAGGCAGAACATGGAGAGAGCTCTTGGCCCTGACTCTGCGTTACTTAGCCCTGACAATGACTGTTTTCACTCTGTGGATGGTGTTTCTCATGGATGTGTTCCTTTTTTTTTTCAGACTGTTTATGACCAGTGGTTCATTACCCTTTTCAACATCGTTTACACATCACTACCTGTTTTAGCCATGGGGATTTTTGACCAGGTATGTGGTTTCTTTTTCTGTATTTTTTGCTTACTTTCTCTGTTGAGTCTCTCAGCTATTACTAGCTAGCTTTTGAGTAGAAGGCTGATTCACGGAAGGATCCCTAGGAATGCAGTTTTCAAAAGAAGTGTCACATGGGTCACAAGTTCTTCTGCGTCCTCTCCCCTGCCTGCTGCTTCTCCAAAAAGGTCTTCCATCCAAGTTTGCCTTATCTGTTCTTAGGGGTTCACATCTCGCAGTATTGATGTGAGGCTCTGAGAAGTCATGCATGAAGTCCTTTCTTTCATTTAAGTCCAGCATGTCTCAAATTTCTGTGATTGTATCTTTTTAAAAATGTAATATTTTAAATTAAATTTTTGAGACTTTCATAAACACATACAATGTATTATGATCGCACTCAGTATTACCAACTCCTGCTCCTAAGTCTTCCCAGATTTACCCCAACATTCCCACTGCCCCTCTTAACTTCACATTCTCTCTCTCTTTTAATGATCCGAAGAGTCCAGTTTATGTTCCCTATTTATACATGGTACATGGTTGACCTACCAGAGGACATATTCTTTTTTTTAAATATTTTTTTATTTTAGAAGCACTCTTATTTACATATTAATCCCCCTATTCCCTCACCCTTCCATCCTCCCATGCACCCCACCAACCCCCCCAATCTACCCCCACCTACTCCCCAGGGATAGTGAGACCCTCCACAGAGGACCATCAAAGTACCTCACATCATTTTGGGGGAGGGCCCAGGCCCTCCTTCCCATATCTGGGCTGCAATAGTATCCCTCCATAGGAAATGGGCTCCCAAAATCCATTTATGCTCTAGGGATAAACACTGGCTCCACTGTTAGAGGTCCCATAGACTGATTTGGACTCCTAGCTGGCACCCACATTCAGAGGACTTGGTTCCATCCATTGCTGGTTCCCCAGCTTTGACTAGGTTGTCCGTGCTCTCACTAGGTCAGGTAAACTGTTTCTGAGGGTTTCTCCAGCACCTTCTTGGTTCATTTGCTCATCCCTCCTCCCTCTCTGCAACTGGATTCCAGGAGTATGGCTCAGTGATTAGCTGTGGGTGCCTGTTTCTGCTTCGATCAGCTACTGGATGAAGGCTCTAGGAAAGGCAACCAAGGTAGTCATCAATTTCATTACAGGGGAAGGGCATGAAAGACAGCCTCTCCACCAGTGCCTAGATTCTTATTTGGGTCATCCCTATGGATTCCCTAACATTTTCCCTGTGCCAGGCCTCTCTCCAAACCTATAGTGGTTCCCTCTATCAAGACATCTCCTTTCTTGCCATCCTCTATTCCTTCCCTGTCTCAGTCCTCCTGTTCTCCTCCAACCTTCCCTTCTTCCCCTCTCTCCTTCCCATCTCCCTCCTCTCCCCTCCCCCCATGCTTCCAATTTGCTCAGGGGTTCTTGCCCCTCTCCATTTCTTTGGGGAACCATGCATTCTTCTCTTGGGCCCTCCTTGTTTTCTAGTTTCTCTGGAGGTGTGGATTGTAGGCTGGTAGTCCTTTGCTCTATGTCTAATATCCATATATAAGTGATACATACCCTGTTTGTCTTTTTGTGACTGGGTTACCTCACTCAGGATGTTTTCTGTGAATTTCGTTTGCCTGTGAATTTCAAGATTTCATTGTATATTTCTTCTGAGTAATATACTCCATTGTGAAAACGTTTTCTCCATCCATTTTTCAGTTGAGGGGCATCTAGGTTGCTTCCAGGTTCTGGCTATTACAAACAACACTGCTACGAACATAGCTGAACGTATGTCCTTGTTGCATGAATATGCATTCTTTGGATATATGCCCAAGAGAGGAATTGCTGGATCTTGCGGTAGACTGATTCCCATTTTC